CATGTAGATTGGCAATCTGAACATAGCACATAGCACATTTCGAATCTAAATGCTACGTGATCGGGTGTTGACAAATTTCCGCGAAATTCAGCTTCATCGATCGCGTGTTGCTTATTCGGTTACTTGCTTAAACTATTTAATAGAACATTTCTGAACATCTTATGCACGTAGGATTACAAGCGTATAGATCTGTAATGATTCAGGTTTTTTTCAATCACCTTGCTTGTAGACCATCAGTGTTGGTGAAAATTTAATTTGGGACACATTATGAGTTATTTATATTAACTATAAACACTTAAATAACATAAATAATATATACATAATTATAAATACATTCATTTGTTGAGGTTTTTGGTTTTGGGCCATTGTTGAAACTGTAACGATTTGCTGATCCATCGTTGACGGTTGATTATAAAGCCTTTTTTGCCCACGCATTTCCCTACCAGCACTAGTGCATCTATTATGCTACTGGTGTGGGAATGAAGCGCGTCGGCAGTAAAAGCTGCATACTTTATCATCGGCTTTGTGTGGTGCCCTCAAACATGAATCAGAAAATTTATTTGAGCAGTCATATGTTCATCCTCATGATGCCAGTTTATATTTGCACTAAACTGAGCGACGCACTTGCATAAGAATGCATTGTTTTTGCCACACTGTACTGTATATTTCTACTTCTGTTCATTCTATATTATTTATCCAGTGTGAAACTTTATGGTGTCTTGAATGCACAGCTATCGCAATGATGCTTATACAAATGCTTTGAATCTTATGTTGATTTGGTAGTAGAAAATAGTACCGGGAGTGATTGATTACTCAGTTTATTCATTTTCTCCATCCAGGCGACGTGAAGAATTGAAGTCGCTAATGTATAAGTGTATAGACAAACAAACAACAGAATATTTAATAATACTGCGAGGTTAAAGTAGGAATGATGCAAGAATTTTCGCTCATGTTCGGACCGTCTCGGTTGCTGCTTGAGTCTGTACGTGGAGACTCATGCACATCTACAATTTTAGGCTGAAAGCAGAGCATGAGGAAGAAACGCGCAGGCGTCGGCTACAGATCTACGTGTGCGTGGCGCGCTGCATCGCGTACAATTTCAACGCCAAGCAGCAGACGGACATCGCCAAGCGATTGCCGAAGGTTACCAAGCAGGAGTTGGGCCGGATCAAGGAGCGATTCGGCGCCTTTGTGCGCGGCGAAATCCAGATCGTGGTCGATGAGGCGTTCACGAACGTCGTGCAGTCGTTCTCCGAGGTGTTGAACTCGGACCGGACATTGAACATGGTGTTGGCCGGCGGTTTTTCGGCCAGCGACTTCCGTGAGCTGTTCCGCAAGATAATCGAGAAACGGCTGTGCGACGTG